TGTATTCTGAATTCTGTCTTTACAAAATGTAACTTGGACTGAATACAGATGCTTAATTTCTGTGTTTTGAATATGTCACAATACTTGTATTGCTTTATATCCAAACCCTGGTACACACACCACACACACACACACACACACACACACACACCACATTGTGGGTTTTCAGTCGATTGGAACAAGATTGTGGTGCGTCTGCTGGACGAGGACACAGAAACAAGTCTTGCAGAAACACAACGTGCCAAATGGCTCACAGCACAATGAGGGCAGGACAAGTACCAGCACAGCTTTCGGTCTGTAACACGTCCACACGTAACTCAAACTGGGCCTGAGTTAGTCACATCAAGCAGCACTCGAATTATCATGTAGATATTTTATCACTTTAACATAATATGTTATTGTAAGATGGTTCACAATATATACACCACCCAAACCCTATAAACCAGGGGTGTCAGACTCTCCCCTAAAAGGGCCGTATTACAAAATCTCAACAAATCCGTGAGCCAGAGAACATCTGTGTTTTATTTCATTTCATTAATAAGCATTTTACTATAAACTGAACTCACCACGGTTAACTTCAACAGTGAAACACAGACACTTCAAAGTTCAATGGTTTATTTATTTGTCACACACAGTCAAACACGGTACAACTAGCAGTGAAATGCTTGGATAACTGCCCGCTCACATGAAGCAACAAGGCAATAAGAAACAGCAGTCAAATAGAGGAACAATATTGTAGAAAATGTATAACAAAACATCCGTCTATGAAATATACCCTATAGACACAATGCAGATATGAAAGTGTACACATGGCATCCTTGGAAGTACAGTGCAAGGTGCAAAGTGAGAGAGCGACGTAACGCTGTGCAACTGAGCAGGAGTTTACTCAAGCACTACCTCAGGAACTGTTGAGCTCACGTATGTTATCTGACTGCCTAACTCACAGATCACAGCATGTTAAATAATCTCTGCACCTTATTCCACAACCCTACCTCATGCTCAGAAATGAGTGCTGTGTCGGTGCTGCACTGTCCTGTCTGTTTACTGTGTCTAATGTCTGTTTGATTTATCGTATTTATTATATTCTTTCTAGTTTAATGTTTTGCACACTTACATCTGCACGTCTTGTTGGTCCTGGAGGAACGTAATTTCACTCCACTGTGTAATGTACATAGATGGAATGACAATAAAAGCCTCTTGACTTGAGGAGGTAGAATAAATAAACTAAAAGTACATTAAACGTGGTCAGTGTTTAGTGCAGTCCTGTGTGTGATGGGTGCGTATGTGTGTGAGATGGTCCTGTTTGTCCTGTTTGCTGTCGTGGTTTAGAGCTCGGATGGTAGGACTTGTAGTAGACCTTGAAATATTACATGAATACTTGAAATATTCAATATTTAAACGTCCCCAGGAGCTCAGTCTTTTAAACCTAGCTGTTTGCTTGAACTAAACACTGCCATCGTTTCTGAGCTGCTAAGCCGACATTAGGTGTTTATAGTAGCTGAACTGCAGTTGGTGTGTTTGGTGTTGTGACTGGTGTGGAACTGTGTTGAATTGTGGTGTAACTGCTGTCCTGTAGACTGTTGTTGGGGTGGGAGAGTTGGAGTGCACATTATGTTGCAGTGCATGCTGGGGACTGTAGTGCGGCGCACTGTGAAACAGGCTAATATTAATAGAAAACAGTAGAAATAGTTTGCAGGCCGAATGGGATTGTGGGCCTGTATCTCTGAGTGAATGTACATTTACCTCTGAGTTTGGTCTACATGGTCACTATACACTCTTAAAAACAGATGGTTCTTCAAGGGTTCTTTAGCAAAGAAAATGGTTCTATATAGAAACATGAAGACTCGAAGAACCCTCTGCATGCTTAAGGGGTTCTTTATATCATTAATAGGTTCTTCAGGTTGATGGAGAATGTGTTGTATATGGTTCTATATAGCACCAAAAAGTGTTCTTCCGTTGTTACCATTTTCAAAAAGTTCTATGTAGAACCATGAACACTCAGAGAACCCTTTGCATGATTACAGAGTTCTTTGCACTGTGAAATGGTTCTTCAGATTGATGGAGAATATGTTGTATATGGTTCTATATACAACCCAAAAGTGTTCTTCTATTGTTACAACATCAAGCTGGTAACATTACAAGAACCCTTTTGGGTGCTATTTAGAACACTTTTCAAAAGGATTCTATGTTATCTGTAGCACATTCATGCACATTTTCCATCAATCTGAAGAACCATTTATGACAAAAAGAAACTTTTAGTCATACAAAAGTTCTTTGAGTACTCATGGTTCTATATAGAACAATTTTCTTTACTAAAGAACCCGTCTTTTGTAAGAGCGTAACAATAGAAGAGCCCTTTTCAAAAAGGTTCTATATAGATTCTATAGAGTTTTCATCACATTGTCCATCAATCTGAGAACCATTTCACCATGCAAAGAAGCATTTAAGCATGCAAAGAGTTCTAGTTTTCATGGTTCTATGTGGAACCATTTTCTTTACAGAAGAACCCTTGAAGAACCGGCTTTTTTAAGAGTACGCTGAGCTTCCCTGAGTGTGTCTTCTATCAGTGTCACTACACAAAGTGTTTTTCTCTCCCATGACCTCATTTCCCACAACATGAAAATCATAGCAGTGTTGTGGTCATTCTCATGATCAAGATTTCTCTGTATCAGCTCTCTCAGAGCGACAGAGCTTATCTACAAACAGTTTTCTTTCATGTCCTCACCAGAGAGATTCTGATCCTGCATCAACACTTTTTAGACACAACAATCTAAGACATGTACCCAAGTATTTAAAAAAAACTGCTTTCTCCTTTTGGCAACGGCTGAAAATCCCTCAGCAGTGAAGTAGAGGAGCTTTTTTATCTGTCCTCTTTGTTTCCACGGCTGCTCCTTCATTAGTGCAGGGCTGAGGGTTTTCATTAGAAGACCGTGGAGTGGACTCCAGAGACTGGCAGGGGAACGGGTGGAGGGGACGAGCTTTGGGGTATAATTGGGTCCTTCCGGTCCTTTGACTCTCTCCAAGGTCACTTCAAGACAAACTTCTCCACAGGACAATTCCCTTTCCTTCTGCCTCTCCCTGCTTCATTCTTCATCTTTCTAGCGCTTTTTCTTCTCTCCTCCTTTACGTTTTGGTCAAGGCTGCTTTTGTGCAGGGCAGCTGGCAATGCTTTAAAGTGTAATTTCTTTCAGGTGGACGTTTTGTGGAACATTAAGAGAGTGTTGAAGAGTTTTAGTCAGTAAGCAGGACTGTGCTGCACCAGGTTTTGCATAAGTTTGTACTTAAGTTTTGGCATAAAGTCCTCATTAGTTTCTCCTTTTACCAAATTTGGTTGCACCACAAATCCGTAAGTCATTTCTTAACCAGTAACAAGCTGTTGGATCAAAACCTGGTATCTCCAAAATTGTAACATTACAGGAGAAGGAAAAAACCTACTCTACTTTCAATGTAAGTCAATGGAACCAGATTTTTTTCCAATTAATTTCATGCCAGTTCTGTTGGTCCATTCATCACGAAATTTACGCACAATATACAGGAACACAGGTGCTTCCAAATTAAGTCAAAAACTGAAAATGAAAAAGGAGATACGAGGTTTTGTTCCGACAGCAGAGAACAACTAACTAATGCATACGTCGCTTTAACACGATGATAACATGTTCAGAATCAGTCACTAAACCCGCTGCCATGGAAATGCCACGGCCTAGAAGAGAACGATGTGTACAGGTTAAACTGAATGAATTGGTGATCTACAGCTGCCGTCTGTTTACTCTTTAATATTTCACTGATAAACCAAATACGCAGCTTCTTAAACGCCGGTTTCTGGCTAACCGACACAGCAGCAGCCTCAGTTTAGCCGTTTGGGTTGCTGAGTCTCTCTGAGCTGGAGCTGTGGGTGTTTAGCTTCATGAGTTTAAACCAGGGTGACGATTAGAGCTGTGAGTAAAATCACAGCATACAGAGTTTAGAGTTTTTAGCTTAGCAACCAAAAAAGTCATGTTTTTGGTCCTCTTTGTGTTTCTATATGGTTTTTGATGGTTTCCCCAAAACGTGCAGCTGCTCAAGGGGGTGTAAATATTTAGTAACTACTAAACTCAATGTTAAAAATAGTTTGTTCTGATTTAGTGAAGATAAACCTGAACTTAGTAAACACTTACGGTACAACCAGTCTACGTCTGAACTTACCCAGAGCTGGTGCAACCAGACACTGAGCACAAGCAGCCCTGGCATGATTCAGACCTGCCAAACTTGGCAGTTTGAGTCGTGTTTATTTTGCGAAGTACCGTCTTTGTTGCTTTGCTAACCATGAGATCAGTTCTTCATTCCAACACGAGCAAACCTGCCATCACTAAAAGTGCATAACGTCTCAATGCTGCTTAAAAAGATGAGAAGAACTGGAAGAATCGCTGAAAAAAAGGGTTGAATAGAATCTGCAGGTTTACAGGTCTGCAAAAACAGAACTAGCCGACTCAAGAAGACGTTGCAAGGCATTGTGGGTAGCGATGAGAATTCCTGGCCGTCTCTGTCTGATTAAGACGCAGCGCTGAAAGCTGGCTTTGATCTTAGGAAATGTCTGCGAGGGGAACAGTTGGAATTTAGCTCGGGCTTTCTCCCTCCCTCCTGCTCCGAGATTTGGCCCCGCAGATGGAGGCAGATAGATAGTGTCACCATTCATTTCCTGCTCCAGTTCCTGCTCCATTCTGAGGAGAAGTAAGACCTGGAGCAGAGAGCGGGAGTGAATAGAGCACATGCCGAGCTTTTGTCGGTGTCTTCTGAGCTCTCTTTTGCTTTCGCGATTCAGTCCAAATGTATGCGTTGTGCTTAGGTTCTGTATCCCAATTTAACCTTACAAACTAAAGTGGAAGATTAGGAGCCAACTGAAAGCAGAACATTTTAAGATGTCTGAATATAGTCTGTGTAAAAAAAAGCAAGTAAAAAAAAAAAAAAACACCCTGCAATGCTAATTTCTTTTGCTCTCTGTTTTTTTTTTTTTTTTAATCCAGGCCCCCTGCGTTGGCAGGCAGCCCTGCGTTTTCCGATATCTCCGTCATCCGAATCTCGCCCCACCGGAACCCATCGGTCGGTGCGGAGTCACCCTTTAACCCCCCACACCCGTACATCAACCCCTACATGGACTACATCCGCTCCCTTCACAGCAGCCCCTCGCTTTCCATGATTTCTGCAGCCAGGGGACTCAGTCCTGCAGATGGTGAGTACCTCAGGGACCCATTCTGGGGCCTCTGAAATTCCTTCTAATAGGCACCCTATAGCAGAGATCATAACCTCCCCACATATGGTTTTGGAACATTCTTTTGCATGGACACTGAGTCCTCTTAGAACTCTTTATTCCCCCTCTTTGAGAAACTGACAGTGTTGACAACATGCCAGCTTTGATGAAACATTAAATGTACAAAAGTGACACAAAATAGTGGCAACATGACCGACACACTGATTGTTCCTAATAATTTATTACACACAAAATTGCAGTGCAGCGCATCTTTCTCCTGTTATTTGACACTCAAATCCAGATTCAGTGAAGCTCATTGTTTATCTGCTTCACCCACAATCAGAGGAGTTAGAGACGTTTCAGTACCAACAAATTTTCTTTAGCAAATATGTAATAAGCAAGGTGCAAAACTAATTAACCGCTTGGATTAAGTGAAGATTCAGTGAAGCTGGTTGTTTATCTGCTTCCCCCGCAATCAGCTTCTGTCTCTGGTGTTCTTAACTAACTAGAGCTGCAGCACTGCTCTGCCTCAGGGTGGCGCTGTAGCAGACTGGTTCACCCAGTTGGTCCTTCGTAGTCTATAAACTGTAACTCTGCCCGGATTCCACTGAAACACTTTACAATGAGCTGCAGCAGATCTGTAAATCTGAAAACTCGCCCAGTTTCCCAAGAGTTTGGAGTGAAGAGTGACTGTTCCTCATTTCTCACACTGAAGACAGAAGAGGAGACGAGGAAGATCTCAGTTCGTGTGAGGAAGAGCGCAGAACCGCACTAGAACAGAGACTCTACAGAAGAGGAGACGAGGAAGATCTCAGTTACTGTGAGGAAGAGCGCAGAACCGCACTAGAACAGAGACTCTACAGAAGAGGAGACGAGGAAGATCTCAGTTACTGTGAGGAAGAGCGCAGAACCGCACTAGAACAGAGACTCTACAGAAGAGGAGACGAGGAAGATCTCAGTTACTGTGAGGAAGAGCGCAGAACCGCACTAGAACAGAGACTTTACAGAAGAACAGCTGATAAACCAGTCAGCGCCACTATGGTGAGTGAGAGCAATGCTGGAGAAGCCAGCCAACATTATTAGGGACCCCCGTATACCAGGGGGTACTTCGCAGAGTGATTGTAGGTTCTTGGAACTTAAGAAAGATTTAAGCAAAATCAGCTTAAGTGTCTAAATATCTAATTTCTCATTGTGAGATGGTTACATGAATGTTGTATAATTGATGAAGATGATTTTTCCTTGTTTTATCTAATTTTATTAAATAAAATGATCTCACTATATTGGCACATAAATTGGCCTGTTTCCAGCACATTTCTTAAAATAAGTAAAATTGTCTGTTACTATAGTGAGATCATTTCCTTTAATAAAATTACTTCAAACAAGCCAAAATCATCTATTAATAAATGAATCTTTTAATACGCTTACAACAATCTAAAAATGAGAATATTAGATGTATCGACTAGATTTAAGACCTGCCAACATCTAATTTTTTCTACACTGCAAAACGACATCTTGGCAATTTAAATGATCTTAAATCTAGTCAATTTCTAATATTTCTAATGTTGAGATTGTTGTAAGCTTATTATAACATAACTTATTTCTGGACATTTGTATTTTTTTTAACATAGTTTTGGTCAGTCAAATTATCTCACTACACACTTAAAAGGTTTTTTAAGTGTTCTTTAGTAAAGACAGTGGCTCTATATACAGTCAAAGAACCCTCTGCATGATTAAAGGGTTCTTTGCTTTGTGAAAGCTTCTTCAGATTGATGGAGAATGTGCTGTAGATGGTTCTACATAGCACCTTTTTGAAAAGGGTTCTATACAACACCCAAACGTTCTTCTATTGTAAAAAGCCTGATATTGTAACAATAGAAGTTTTAATTTTGTGGCTTAGCGGAGTGGACAGGGGTCATCCCTTCGTTCCATCGCAATAAGAAGGAGGTTTATTTCATGGACCCCAACCATAGAAGCTACATGACGACCGGGATATTAGGCTGAAGCGCCAGGGCTTCCTTTTGCGCTCCAAGTTTTTCAGCAGGTGTGCCTTTGGGGGATTGAACATGACAGCACTGACCAGGAGTGTCTTAAAAACGAGCGAAAAACCGTGACAACTTACAAGGTTGAGAGTGTAGCAGACCCTTATATAACCATACGCTCTGCCAGCACTCGCTCAGCCTCTCTGCGGAGGAGGGAGCCTGCAGCCGGATCGTTTGGCTGGGTCATTCTCTTTGATCCCGCTCTCATGTCAGTGCCTCTGGAGGAAGAATCAGCGAACATAACGGTCACGTTCAGAGTCAGAGCGAGGCGGAGGTTCAAGGCCAGGGTTGAGGGTCGAGGGCAGAGGGTGAGAGACGGAGGGAGCGAAGGAGGAGGAAGTGGGACGCTCCGCGAGCCCTGCAGGGAGCCGCTCGGGTCCCTCGCACGGAGCCAGATTGGGAAATCAATTACAGGCTTGGCGGGAGCCTGCTGTTTTTAAAGAGCCTCCGCAGTGCGCCGGCCTCTTGGCCTGCTGCTCAGCCGTGGAGCTTTAATTGAAGCCTGGAGCTCAATTACTGAAGGAGGCCAATCGGAGATTCCTCCCAGAGGCCGCAGATAATCACCGCTGTATCGAACCGCGGCTCCATCCCGCATCAGGCTGCCTTTTACAGTCTGGCACACGAGCCGAAGGGGCCGTGCAGCCATGGCAGCACCCAAGGAGCATCGCTGTTATGCTCTAAAGTGTGCTAATTCATTATTACGCTGTTTGGATTAGGATATTTCTGTGGGTTTTGATAAACGCATGCTTTTTTTGGACTCTGAGGTGGACAGACTGCATAGAACCGATAGCAGTATAAGAGGTTTTGATTAGTAAAGTGGACCACAGCGTGTTTTAGTGCAATTCCACAGTCGGTTTGTTACATAATCGGTCGTAAACTTTATCTGTTCTTTTAAAAGAAAAACAAAGTCGTTGGCATCAGAGCCAAGAGCCACATCCTTCCTCACAGCTTCAGCTTATCCTGTAGATTAGAGGGCATTTATAGTCGCGGCCTTTTGATCCAAACCCATTAAGACTGACGTACGTCAACAGGCACAGAGACTGTTTCAGTCGGTGTTGTTTCAGTGTGCGTTACCTAACTAAACGAGGTGTTCATTAGCCGCTTAGGACACATTTTGGAGGGTGAGAGGTGAAATATGTGCGACAGCTTCAGTATGCATGAACAATTTTATGAATTTTATCATTAACAGGCCAAACATTCTCTCATCAAGCTGAATGTTGTCACTGCCGGGAACAGAACCTCATATTTTCAGAATTTTACAGGACAAGGAAAGAAAATACTAGTTTGTAGTGGAAGTTAATGTGAAAAGATTTTTTTTTTCTACACAAAATGATTTCTTGGCAGTTTAAGTGAGTTTAAATCCAGCCCATATCTAATATTTCTAATTTTGAGATTGTTATAAGCTTATTATAAGATTACTTAACCGATTTCTGGACATTTTAATTGGTTTCAGTGGTGAAGTCAAATGATCTCACTACACACTTAAAATGATGGTTCTTCAAGGGTTCTTTACTAAAGAAAATGGTTCTATATAGAACCACGAACACTCAAAGAACCCTTTGCATGATCAAAGGGCTCTTTGCATGGTGAAAGTTCTTCTGTTGTAACAAGCCTGACATCATAACTAAGGCAGAACCCTTTTTGGTGCTGTATAGAACCCTTTTCAAAAAGATTCTATAGCATTCTCCATCAGTCTGAAGAACCATGTCACCACGCAAAGAACCCTTTAATCATGCCAAAGGTTCTACACTCTTAAAAAAAGACAATCCTTTAAGTGTTCTTTAGTAAAGGCAATGGTTCTATCTAGAACCAGAGTTCTGTATAGAACAATTTGCATGCTTAAATGGTTCTTTGCATGGTTAAATGGATGGAGAAGGTGTTGTATATGGTTGAACCCTTTCTTTGAGTGTTCATTATTCTATATAGAAACACTGTCTTTACTAAAGAACCCTTGAAGAACCTTATTTTTAAATGTGTTTTCTGGCGGATCATTTTGCTGGTTTCAAGCTCATTTTGTACATCAAGTAATATTATCTGCCAACATAGTGAGACAGTTTCACTGACTAAAATCACTCACAACAAGTAAAATATCTGGAAATCAATCTGATAATCTTATAATAAGCTTATAACAATCTTAAAACGAGAAATATTAGATATATTGACTATATTTAAGATAAATTTAAGACAATTTCACCTGCCTGTGTATCATTTTTTGCAGTGCAGATCATTTTGGAGCATTTCTGTTGCTCATCATGAAATATTACTCTGCAAAAAATGGCATCTTGTCAAGTGAAATGATCTTAAATCTAGTTAATATAACTAATATTTCCCATTCTACTTGATTTTAGGTGATTTTATTAAGTATAATGATCTCACTGTACTGGCAGATAATTTTGCTGGTTTCAAGCTCATTTCTTACAACAAGCAACATTATCTGCCAGTATAGTGAGATCATTTTACTTAAAATACTTAAAACAGGTAAAAAAAGTCTAGAAATAAGTTAAATAATCTTATAATAAGCTTACAACAATCTCAAAATGAGAAATATTAGATTTAATGATCGTTTTACTTGACAAGACACCATTTTTGCAGTGTAAAAACTGCAAAAAGAGTAACTGCAGTTTTCAAACTGTGAAAAACAGAAAAAAAAAACAAAAATATGAAGATGATTTTGGCATATAGGTGTTGATCTATAGTTGGAAATCAATTATGCTGAGTGCCTCAGAAATCCTACATTTATTTCAGGCTATCTGGTAGAGACCCGAGCTCGAGAGAGGGGATGAAGTGAGCATGGGTGGGATTTTTGTGTCTCTCCTTTTCCTCTCCTCCTCTGTGCTTCCGCGCTCCCTCGCTCCTCTCCGCTCCCCACTGAGGGAATGCCCCGTGGCTGCGGTGGCACACAGAATCGCGGGATCGTCTCGCTCCCTGCCAAAACGCCAGCGTGCCACCCCCGGCCCAACCTGCTCCTCCGGCACCAGCAGCTCCGTTTAGAGCTCTCCACTAAACCCTATCTGAGCGCAGAAGACGGAGCAGCCAGGCAGAAACAACGGGGACAATTAAGAAGGCGGCCCCCCCCTCCCCACCCCCTCCACTTAAAGACATAATACCCACATCGAATTAATTTGGAATTTCTCCTTTACATTCACACAACCAATCAGAGACGCATATTCCACGCGTACAGACCGGGGCCTCCGTCTACATCCTTTCATCTCCTGCTTTGTTTATATATTTATTTACTCTTTATTCCTTTCCCTTTTAAACGAGGGGGGAACGGGCAGGAATTAGCTGGAACACTTTGTGTTTTCTGTTGTTTTTTGCATTTGCATCCAGAAGCACTGTGTCAGTCTGTTCTCTGCCTCATTCTCTCGCTCTCCGGTTATTTTGTGTGTGTTTTCTTGGTAGTGTCATTTGCATAGGGTTAACACGCTGCCAGAGGTTTATTTTTAGGATGCGGTGGAAGGAGCTAAAGAGAGCGATGCGGTGTGTGTGCGTTTGTATGGGTGAAGTGGGGGGAGTAAGAGGAGGAGAGGGAGTGGAGGAGAGAGAGAGAGGCAGAGAGAGAGGGAGAGAGAGAGAGCCGCTGTTGTTTTATGCATGCAGATCTGAGCAGATTTGGACCGTTTGCTTTTAAATGGAGTTTTAAGTTTGGCAGTGCGAGGGGAGAGGATGTAGCGCGCGTGGAGCGCTGCGCCGGCCGATAACACCCCGCTGCCTCTCTTCTCGGCAAACACATCCATATGGCCTGATCTGTAATCTAACTGTTCATTACCCATATACACCCCACTCCCACTCGCCCCTCGTGGCCTGGAGTCCCCCATTCAGCTTACTCATTCTCATAGGTGACCCCGTTAGACCTGTCACAGTCAAAAATAAGCAACTCCTCAACGCATCATCAGTGATTACACTCTCAGAAATAAAGGTGCTGAACTGTCTCTGGGGCAGTTCCCCTCTTGTCACTTGGATGGAACCCTCAAGGGTCCATCTCAGCACCTTTAGTCAGGGAACATAACTGTACCACACTGACCGTACTGACTCCACACACCCCGTCTCGTCTCTGTCGTCCACTGTTTTGCCTTTGAGGGAACATTTACACTGTTTGTACCTTGAAGAAACTTTACAGGAGAAGGAAAAAACATACCTTACTTTTAATGTAAGTCAATGGAACCAGACTTTTTTCAAAATCATTTTGAGCTGTTTCTTTTGGTTCATTCATCATGAAATTTACAAACAATGTAAAGAACAAGAAGCATTTTCAAATTATGCCAAAAACTGAAAAACGACAACAATGGAGATACGAGGTTTTGTTCTGACAGCAGTGATATAAGTCCATCTTTATTGTTTGGCCTTTTTAAAAACTCTTCAAAATAATACATATACATACATCATCTAAACCGCTTATCCTTCTGGGTCGCGGTGGGGTGCTGGAGCCTATCCCAGCTGTCATTGGGCGGAAGGCAGGATACACCCTGGACAGGTCGCCAGTCCATCGCAGGGCCTCTTCAAAATAATCAGTTGCCAAATTGGTAATATAGCTGACAGTGACAGCCCTAAAAACTGCATTACAAATGGTGTCTTTTCTAATTCTCTACTTTATGGATGGATTTTTCTGTTTTAGCGCATTTTCATAGTGTTTTCTCTGCCCCAACATGTCTGTGTCAGCGCTTATGAATTAGCTTATTAGTTGGATCAGGTGTGTCACAGCAGGAAAACACTAAAAGATTAAGGACTTAAGGGTGAAATATAACATTATGAGGTTTATCATTACTAGATTTTGCAGTTTGACTGCAGTTTGTTTTCTTTGCTCTTCACTCTCCTCTCTCTATGCCCTGTGCCGTATAGCGCCACACGCTGGTTTGACCACGGCAGAATACTACCATCAGATGGCGTTGCTTGCGGGCCACCGAAGCCCCTACGCTGACATCATTCCTTCCGCCGTGTCCTCCACCGGAGCAGGAAGCAACGCCTTGCACATGGAGTACCTGCAGGCTCTGGAAGGTGAGCGCTCAGTGCACACTTAGGCCCTGTTCCAAATCCACTGCAGCACCCTGCACATTTACGCACTTTTAACTGCCGCTGAAGGTGATATGCACTCAAGGTTATCAATGCAGCTTGGTTCCAGTCTAGAAGAAGTGATACGCTTTCGTTTTTCAGCCTCAGTTTTGATATTTTTTAATATTTTTTGATATTTTCACAGCAGCCAAATGCAGTTTAGAAGGTCCCTCAGTTTATCTGTGCATTTTTTTCCATATTGGAATATATTAGAATGGAAATGTGATGATTTACAAACATAAAACTCACAATATAAGTGTTTTTAAATGTATTTGTTATAGTAGCTCTACATGTTTCTGATATCAAGAAAGCTGTTGATGTCAATCAAATGGCTGCCTTTGTGGAGAGGTGTGAATTCTTTTTCACAGCAGGGGGTTCTCACACCCCTCCTTTCACCCTCACTGCTCGCTAGCAGCTCAACACAGAGTCACAACATTTGACCTTCAAAGAGCCAACAGTGTCCTAGTTCATCTAGTAGAGTTAAAGGGGATTATTATTAATTATTGTTATCAGATTTATATTTTTCTTCTTATTATTATTATTTTTCTGCTGGATTTTTGTCTGGAAACTCAACCTGCAGTTTTCAAGACACGGTTCCAACTCTGGAATGTTTGATTTGATCGGGATTGGTGTGCTTGTATACAGCTTTTTGATCTGACATACAGTTTTCATACAGTCTTCGTTAAATTATGATTTTATCCCCATAGAGATGAATGGGCTAAAAATGATCTACGGTACTTCTGCTGAACCACAAGACACCATTTCGCATATACTATCTCAGAACAGGCCCCCAAGTACAAATCAGTGTTATTCTGACCCGCACTCATCTGTTTGTCTTTTTTTCTCATCCCTCGTTCCTCTCATAGAGTCCCATTTATTTTCGCCCACATCCCAGCACTATTATTTCCTTTACACGACAGCCACCAAACTACATGTCTTCACTCAGAACAGGTCCCCAAACTCTAATCCACAGTCATACTGACCTGCACTCCTCTGTGTTATTTTTTCATCCCTCGTTTCTCACATAGACTCCCATTCATTTTCAAAAATACAGAGCTAACTCTTGGCAACCCCCTAAAAACCACCTAGTAAACAATCCATACATCATAGCAACTGCCTAGCAACACCTTAGCAACTGTGCAATCACTCTGCATTTTCTTCAGAAAATGCCTTTTTCTAGTTTTATTTTATTATATCAATTAAGAATATCAGAGTCAATTTCCTTTCCGGTGCCATAATGGCCACTAGGGGGCCTGCAGGAAGAGGTTAAACCAGAAGGAGTGTACACTTCGGCCCAGTCCCAAATCTATAAGAAAGCACATCTACTCTTATACCTACTTTCAAAGACCTCTTTGAAAATTTTCAACATGGCCTGGATCCAAACTAGAGTAAGTCATATTCATATAAGTGGATAAGTTTAATCAATCAATCAATCAATCAATCAACCTTTATTTCGGCTCGGAAGTACATTGAAGGTGACCCTCATTTACAATGTAGCCAAACAAATTACAAGAGATTGAAAAAGTTGAAGTGAAATTTACTGACTGAAACAAATGAAAATCATCAAGACGAAAAGATTTATTAAAAATTATATATATATATTTTTAAAAATTAACAGCTCAAATAGAAAACTGGCATAAAATATCAATAAAATATATAATAAAAACACATTTAAATGAAGTAAAAGAACACATTTACATAGTAAGCAATAAGAAAACTAAAATCTGAGAAAAATCTAATTATTTACTACTAATAAAATTGTAAAAAATTAACATCAAATAAATTGATATTTCCAGCCTCGTTTGGATTCTTGGTTTTAGGTCTTATTCAAAGCTGTTTTCATTCATCCATATATTTAGTTCCTCTACAGAAATGCCAGTCCGAAACTCAAACTCTAGCTCAGCTGGCAGGAAAAGAGAAAAGTTCAGGATCTTTTCTCTTTAGCTCAGTTTAACTGTCTAAAGAGTCGTCAGACACAGACTAATGACTGTTCTGCATATAAATATTGTGTAACTCCTCTGAATTAGCCTGAACCTGCACCAAACAGCTGCTTTTGTCTCTCATGGCTTTAGTTCATGGATGAAAGGACAGTTAAAAGGAAAACGAGCCATTAAACATGCTAAATACACCATTACAGAAGAAAGGATTGCGCCGTTCCTGGAAAAAGTTAGCGAGATAATAGAGTGACCTGATTTAAATGAGCCATTGTCTTAGCGCGTTCGACAGGGGGAAGGGTGCGTGAGTGCGTGCGTGCGCGCAGGACTTATGCTAATGAGTTATTTTAAAGTGTAAATAGGAAATTAAAGGCACGGTGGTTTCGAGAGGGGTCGGCCTGACTGGCCCGCTTCGCCTTTGATGAGAATGTATTTAGTCAGCCCCTCGTCAGGCCCCCCTCCCGCCCTCCTCTCCCTCGCAAACTAATTAAAACTAGCCAAACTTGCACTGGTATCAGAAAATTAATTGCTATTAAGTGGGAATTGGAATGTCCCACTATTCATCACGGGAGAAATCCTTTCTTCTGTGGCACTGTTTAAGATTAATAGACTGAAACAAAACAATTAGGGCCAGTGTTTTTCAGATGGAGACGTAAGGGCCTCCTCCACTTCACAGATCGCCTGTGATCCGGCCCGGGTAATAACTCATCCCGTTTTCAACAATGTGTGTTCCACGCCGGCCGAATTAACACTTTAAAGCTCTCTTTTATGATATAGAGATACGGAGCGAGAGCGAATAAAGAGAAGTCCCTTATCGAGAGGCTTTTGTTAATAATGGGGACGGTGCGAGTTTTAACCGCGCTCACTTCAGTGTAATTACTGCTGGAGAGGGTCCGGCTAATGAAGGAACACGCCTGCCCGTCTGTTTGTGTTCCTGACGGGGCCATTGTTTAAACGCGTTAGCCGCTAATTGCGCTACGTCTGCACCTACACTGTGGAAACATCTGTATTCAGAGGAGTTGTTGGTATTTGAAGTTCAGTTATTGGGCTGTTTTCTCTCCTTAATGATCCGTCTACTGATTTTACTGCCGATTACTGGAGAAATCAGACTTTCTGATTTTAAGTGAAGTGAATTAAGTGATCCTGATTTTACATAAAGGTGTGAATAAGTGAGCCCCTCCTCGACACAGACACACTGCTGCACATTCTACTACACAATTACTGTTTATTTACTGAGTTTAATGTAATGGAAGTTGTGGCCTGTTATATATTCTAAAATTTATTTTTTTATTATTTGATTTTATTGTATTATTTGGTTATTTTATTTTTGTAATTTTTATTTTTTATTTATTTATCATTTTCCAGTATGTTAATCTCAGCAAATAATTAAAATGTGCAGAAAAATGTCATATTTAAGTCTGTTCACTGTGAAGGGTGTGCTAACTTATTTTCACTTAGAAAATTAGCAAAATGTAATTTCACTGGGGGCGTTCAAACTTTTGCATTCATTGTTTATATATATATACATATATAAACAATGAAGTATTGAGATCTTAGATATTTACAAGCTTTATGTTCTGAACTATTAAGACATTAATAGAGACAGTAATAAGCTAAATATATACACAATCATCATTTATAGGGTATTATCTTTTGGGAGGTGTCTGAAAATAATGTAGTATTATGTGTAAATTTACATTTTTTAAATTTGCGTTTTTATTGTTTTTATTTGGTTTTGATTTCTGATTTCTAGGTCAGTTTAAAAAAAGATTCTTGTTCAAAAAATGCTGTCCCACATTTTTGTCACTACCAAAACACAGAGTTTCAGTCTGTAGGCGGAGCCTTATTTTAGCCCCGCCCCTGAATTTTAGAGCAGGAAGTGAGGCTGCATCCCTGTCCCTCATGGCCACATGGTGAACAGTTAGATCCCATTGTTTTGAAGTAAATGTGTCCCAAAGTCTGAAAATCAGTGTGGAACATTAAGAATCGCCATATTTTCTGCAGTTCAGCACTTTTTTAGTGTTTTAATGTAAAATATGATGATTTTCTGTGTGAACAGCTGTTCAAAGCTGTGTTTGCTGGTCATGAACTGCTGAGTTTCTGAGCTCAAAATGAGCTAAACCTGTCCCTGAAACAGTCACTACTGAAACATTTTGTGTAGAGTTATGATTGTTTTGGTACTGACTCTGAACCAGTTCAGTAGAATGAATCATGTATAAATGTGGTTTATTTGTTTTTTATGTTTGTGATAAGTGCTTTGAACAGTTGTCGAATTGTTGAATCATCAACTGAGACTGGGTGAAAGCTGTGTGTGTGTGTGTGTGTGCGTGTGTGTGTGTGTGTGTGTGTGTGTGTGTGTGTGTGCGCCCCACACATCCAAATCCATATCCACTCAAAGCCCTTGAGCAGCTATGAACAAGCCAGAACAGTGACAATGTAGAAACGAGGTTCCAGGCGTATGAAAACACACACACACACACACACACACACACACACACACACACACACACACACACACGCATATACTCATCCAGTGATTTACATGTGAATGGCAGACACAGTAAATGCTGGAAGTGTCAAACGAGAATGGAGAGAGAGAGAGGGGAGAGAGAGAGGGAGAGAGAGAGAGAGAGAGAGAGGAGAGGAGAGAGAGAGAGAGAGAGGGAGGGAGAGAGAGAGAGAGAGGGAAGAGAGTGAGTAATCTTATTTTGCTTGCTTGCTTTCTGATAAAATTAAAACAACTGAGGGGGGAGAAAAAAAGAAAAAGTGAGTCACAAAGTCATTGTGTCACTCCGCGCAACAAAAGCGCTCCATCCCCTCAGCGTCTCTCTCTTCCCCTCCTTCTTTCCCTCCTCTCTCGCCTTCTCCCTCCTTTCTTGTTTGTGACATTCGCGAGTGAAAAGACAACAAAAGTCATTTCTTAATCTGTAGATGCCCGTCATTGTGCGCGAGTGGAAGGCCTGTCTTCGGCGGAGCTGCTTTCTAGTGAAAGCTTTTCAAACGCAGCCCACTGCAATTCCATTCACCAATAAAGCACTATTCAAGCAAATTAAATGTGATTAAACATTGCTGTGACACAGACGTGGGAGAGAGAAAGCCACTGGTTATGTGTGTGTTTTGTTTTTTTGTTTTACAGTGTGTGTGTGTGTGTGTGTGTGTGTGTGCGCCTGTGTTAAAGTATGAAACGTGGTCATTGACTGTACTCGGGCTCTTCCCTCCTTTTTTACGTGATTATACCGAATTAAATTGACTTTATGAGGAATTATAGGCATTCTATTCAATTAAATTCCCATCATTCCTGGTCATTTACATTCTTGCGAATGCTAAATTCACAAAGCTGAAAGCCGTAAGGATCTGAATCAAACTCTATGAGAAAATTAGGCTTAACTGACATGACTATAAAGTATCTAGTCGATATTTAAGCGCTGAGTAGTAGCGGGAATGTCTCCGGCCTCTGAAAGCTGCTGCTGGAACAAAACCTTGTATCTCCAAAATGGCAACTTTACAGGAGAAGGAAAAAACACACTTTACTTTTAATGTAAGTCAATGGAACCAGACTTTTTTTGAAGCAGTTTTGAGCCGTTTCTTTTAATCCATTCATCATGAAATTTATACACAATATAAAGAGCAACAGGTACTTTCACATTATGTCAAAAACTGAAAAACAAAAATGGAGATATGCGGTTTTGTTGCGACAGCTGTGATATACGGTCTGTATATATGGCCGTATGAGTAGACAGTGATATTTGGCCCAATACGGTAGTTTTAGGGTGCGTTCATACTTGGCAGGTTTGGTCAGTTTCAAACGAGCCCTGGTCCGACTGCTCTGTTAGTCCAGTTTTGGGCGGAGCCAGTCCCCGTGAGCCATGTAAACCATTTGCAGTTGCCACACAGTCACACCCGACACCCCAGTGCTCCCACTACAGTCCTTCCTCCTTTAAACCAGTTAGCTCTGTCTGCTGCTCTAAGAATAAGTCGACCTGAACAGAACAGAATGAGCTATAAACAATATTTATCGATCAATCAATATTTACCCCCCTACTGACAAACTTAAGCACCTGAAAAAACTATAAATAATACTATTATTAATTTTATCAGCTACGTCAGGCCCATTCAAACTCCCCCAGACTTCATCTATACATTTTCAAATTTAAAACATGGAGTATTTAAATTTTTAGTATTTATATATTTATACTCTGGCCTGGCTGAATACTTGATAGTTATTATTCACTGAGAGATGTGCGTCCATATCGCCCAGTATGTCCAGCTAATCAACATTTTAAACTCAATATTTAATCAATAGTCAATGTCAGTCCATTGCTTTCCATTCTGCATTAGACAGAGCTGAAACTAAAGCAACTGGTAAACAGAAACCACAGCAATGCAGGGAGTCTCATGGCTCACCGCACTGATATCACAAAACAGATAAAACAAATGAAACCCACAAGCCCAGTCAGTGTGAGCGCTAAGCAAACCACAGTTTCTGCTTCGATCAGAACCAGGAGAACCCAACTACAAGTATAAATACACCCTACAACATTTACCCATTCAAACACAGCTTCACCAGGACATGCTGTAAGTTCACTAACGGAGCAAATCGGGGGGGATGGGAAAAATATACTGTCAATCTTGCGAGAAAATATATCTCCGAAATGCTGTAAGTGGTAACTGTTTACTTTCTGGTACGGAAAATCACATGAATTTCCCAGGTGGATAAACACATGCGGTTTTTGCACACTTCGCATGTTAAACGTGTTCTTACATGTCCAAAAATGTGTTCTCCTGTGAAAAAACAGGATTTTTACTTTACTTCAAAATTACGTTACTTACTTTAGAACAAACTGATGTTTTACTCAAATAGGAATTCAACCTTTCAGAAGAGAAATTTGTAGACCTGACAGTAATTTGTTCATTTACAGAGTAGAAATGCACCAACTACATGTTACATGATGCAGCAACTGACAAGTGAACCTTCTTCACGTGATATATCATCGCTGTCCAAAGAAAAACATGAATCTCCAAAAGAATAACTTCACAGAAGAAGGCAAAGCATTTTTAAATTTGAACTTAAGTTAACTTAAAGAGATTTTATTCAAAATGATTTTAGAGCCATTCTGTTTGTCCATGCATCACAAAATTTTAACACAATGCAAAGACAGCCACCGTGTCCAAATGATGTAGAAAAATAAAAACTAACAAAAATGGAGATTTTTTTTGGGGACAGTGGTGATGTAATAATCTTGGCTTAATATGTTAATATATATTTTTTTCTTTTTTAACTCTATTTAATCAATTTGTCATGAAATGTTCAAACCATGAGCAGCTGGAATCTTCAGATGGTGTGAAAAACATGAAATAATAGAGTTTTCTTATGACAGTAACAGCAGTGATGGTATACCCTATAAGGATGTGAGACAGTAACAGCAGTGATGGTATACCCTATAAGGATGTGAGACAGTAACAGCAGTGATGGTATACCCTATAAGGATGTGAGACAGTAACAGCAGTGATGGTATACCCTATAAGGATGTGAGACAGTAACAGCAGTGATGGTATACCCTATAAGGATGATATACTGTACATTTTAGTAAAGCTGTTGCGGTGCTGAACTCCGGCCTGCTCTCAGTTTAACCTTTTTAACCTATTGTAAAAGCTCTCTCTCTTTCTCGTTCAGGTTCTCGCTTTCCGAGCCCGAGGCTGCTGGCTCGTCAGAACCGTAAGCGGCCCCTGCCCGTCTCGCCCCACTCAGACTCCGGATTCGATCTGCAGACGATGATCCGCACCTCGCCCGCCAACTCGCTGGTGACCATCCTGAACAGCTCGCGGCCCAGCACCTCCACCAGCGGATCCTACGGCCACCTGTCTGCCGGAACCATCAGGTACTGACCACCTCTGCTTTACTCAGCTCAGTACGCTGACCATCTACATAAGATGCTGGAGTGGAGACTCGGAAATTTAGGCTGCTCTTTCTGGGTTATAATTTCAGCAGAAGTGCTGGTAAAAACAAAAATACAGCATTACTTTGATCAACGAACGATTCCTTTATCTTTATTAACCGCAACCGCATTAAATGTACTCTACCTAAGTGCCAACAGCTCCCCCTTGTGGAGAATCTTCAGCCTGCTAAACGTGAGTGAGTTAGGCCAGAAACATACAAAGCACAAGTATGCAAAGGTAAATGACAGCACTCGGTCTGCGCATTGCAAACGCTCAGTCCTTCTGTACAAACTCAACGTGAGTCCTTACGTTACTGTGGTGGCTAAAGCACTCAGTACTGAAGGGGGCGCTAGAGGACAAATCAAAGATCTACTGTTATTCCAACAGCCTCAACAGATAAACACCCTGGCTCTAATCCTAACCCTTACCATAACCTCAACCCAAAACCTAATCCTAACCCTCATCCTGGCCCTAATCCTAACCCTAAACTTAACCTCAACCCAAAACCTAATTCTAACCCTCATCCCTGGCCCTAATCCTAACCCTAAACTTAACCTCAACCCAAAACCTAATCCTAACCCTCACCCTGGCCCTAATCCTAACCCTAACCTCAACCCAAAACCTAATCCTAACTCTCATCCTGGCCCTAATCCTAACCCTAAACTTAACCTCAACCCAAAACCTAATTAGTTGTCCGTTTCCTCTAAAAAGCACCCGTAACATAAAGTGTCACCAAAGTGAGAAATTCTGATTAATTAGTCTGTCTTTGTAGATTTTAGTCTGTATTTCTCAGTAATTTGTCTTATAAACGTGACGTAAAGAGGTTCATCCTTTCCTAACGAGAGGACAGAATAATGGAAACAGGCTAATTCACCCAATTCCTCTTCACAACAGCTGTTTGATTGGATTTAGTTCAGCAGCTGGAAGGAAACCTGCGTTCTGTTTTCTCCACACATCCAGCTGAGATAACCTGCATTACTGTAAACACCAAAGGTGACGAGAGAAGGATCAGCAGGAAGAAACGGAAACAGGAAGCCGGAGGATGTAACGGAAGAAGAAGAGGGACGTCGGGTGGAGGAAAACCGCGGTGATAAAGCGCTGAAGGCATTTTGCTAACGAGAAAGGCGTGTTTAACGCAGACAGAGCTGGCAGGAGGACGACAGGAGGAGAGGAGAGCGAACGTGATAGAGAGATAGATGGAGAGGAAGAGAGGACGAGAGAGCGGCCGGCGGCCCGGCCTCGGCGGCGGAGTGATGAATGAACGCGGGACGGAGAAATAAACGAGGGAACAGGCCGAGCGCTATTAGGAGGAAACGTGTGAACACACTCCTCTCCTCCTCCCTCGCACTCGTCCCTCTGATATGCATCACCTGATTAATGTTCCCTCCATCAGAGCAGGAGCGCTCTACCCCGCCGCCGCCGCCGCGCAATCGCTCACGCTGGAAAAGGGGGAGCGGACGGGGGGATGACGGATGGAAGGGTCGCGGAGAGGGGGACAGGGGGAGGAGGAAGGGGCCGGGTTGAGGACACTAACACACGCTCTAATGGGAAAGAGAGAGCGAAGGAAGATAAAATAAAGCCAATAAAAAGGATGGTGGCGCCTCTCACGGCCTGGCTGCTGCATTCAGGGTGAAGCTTGAGAACATTAAAGAACATTAAACACGCAAACTTTTTACAGCCTTTTAAATGACATAATCTGACCTGGTCAAAATCATTTGTAAACTGGTGGTTATCTCAAAAATAAGTATCGTTTGCCCTGAAATATCATTTCTCATATTGAAACAACTAGAAAAATTCTGAATTCTAAACCTTTAATTGATACCACATTTGTGTTTGTGAGTACAAAAGGTAAAATTTTATTATGATTTGAAGGTCTGAAAAAGTTTTTATATCAAAAGTGCAATTTTCGGTAACACTTTCTATGAATGTCATGTTTGTAAGCATCTATAAACACATTTATAACAGTTATAATGTATTCATAAGGCATTATAAACATGATTATAAATATTTATAAACAAGAATTACACTGAATTACACTTTATAGCCATGTTTATTATACATTATGGATTGTTAATATAATGCATTATAAGTAGTGTTAATAACATGTTATACTGTCAGTGCCAAAGAAGTCAGTTCCAGCTTGGAGAGCGTAAAGTAAAGACAAATACCAAGCTAACGGTGGTGAACATTACCTTTCCCACATTGGGTAAAACACTGATGGCAGCTCTAGTTTAAACTCTGACATTTGAAGCCTGTAATGTGCTTTACTGTGAATGTTTTAGTGTTTCAGTAAATCCTTCAGTAAATACTTCAACTTGAAGCCTCACTCTGAACACTGGAGGAGGCTTTAGTACAGTACGCTTCACTTTACTTAGAGCGGACAAATACGACTTATGAGCTCTTATAATTTGTTATGATCAGTACTTATAATGTATTATGGTAACAATTCATAATGCATAATAAACATGGCTATAATGTATAATGCATTTTTATAAATATTTACAGCTATGTTTATAATGTCTTATGAATCCATTATAACATGTTATGAATGTGTTTATAGATGCTTACAAAGGTGACATTCATAGAAAGTGTTACCCAATTTTCAAATCGCATGAGCTGCAATTTTTGTAAGTCTCATTTTAACAATGTTGCAAGTTTTAAGATGTGAAACTTAACCTAATAACGTGGAGCTGCTGAACAGCTTTCAGATGAATTTGATCATTGAGAAGCAACCAAACATTCACGTGTTGTGACATCACAACCACAAACACCTGGCAGGTTGGGACACAAACCTCAAGCCAGAATAAATATATCACTGCTGTCGGAACAAAACCTCGTATCTCCAAAGTGGTAACTTTACAGGAGAAGGAAAAAACAAACTCTACTTTTAATGTAAGTCAATGGAACCAGACTTTTTTGCAAGTCATTTTCTTTTGGTCCATTCATCGTGAGATTTACACATAATGTAAATGACAACAGGTGCTTTCAAATTATTTAAAAACCTGAAAAACAACAAAAATGCAGATACAAAGTTTTGTTCCGACAGTAGTGATACACCTGTCCTCTTAGCCAAAAAAGGCACATACCTCAAATTACCGCAATTTTAATCGCAACCGAAATATTGGTCTGAAAAATCGCCATAGGAGAATTCGTCAGAATCGTTCAGCCCTTATTTGAATTTGATGAAAACTTAGTATTGTGCAGAAAGAAATCAAGTGTAAATCTAGTACCTCACTATGAATTTATGTAATTGTAATTATGTAGCTTAGCAAAACAAAAGCTACAAAATTCTCTCTCCTCGAAAGTTAAACTCACAACTGAGCTCAGAATAATAATTAATGACCTCAAATGGTGAATTTTTTAGTTAGCTGTAGTCCAGCGGACAGCCTGGCCCTGACGGCTTTAGGAAAACGATTAACTGTTCAACACAGGAGTGAGAGGGATATTGATATGGGGTTAATCAATGACATGGAGTTGATTTGTGCAGTTAATCGAACCCCTTTCATTGATGACGGCTGCATTTCTACCCCTTAAGACCCGATCGTGATGAGAAGGGCTGCTTTCTTGCGGATGTTTTTCAGAATTCAGCTGATCTTGATGACCAGGTCTTTAATTTATCCAGGAGTTAAGTAGTTCTATAGTTGAGTCGAAGAGCATAATAGCTCCTTTTCTTTAAAATTGCACAAACATTTTATTCTTTTTCTCAAATGTGATGCCAGGATGATCGGCTGGAGCTGAATAAGTGCTGAAACATACATTCCTCTTTCCTGTGACATTTCTGAGTGAAAGGTGGTATCAGGGAGGGTCTCTGAGCTCACTGAGCATTTCGCTCGATGATAGTTGGGAGGTGAAGGTGAAACAAGATACTGAAACTTGATATTTTTGGTTCATTTTATTTTTCTATGCCCTCTGGTGCAGAATTCAGAGCATGTCTCGGATTCGGGAAAAAGACACTGCATGTTGATGGTCTTAATTTTGAGACCTAAAGAATTGAAGAATTGTTCTTACTATGACCGGGCACGTGAACTAACCAGGTATAAAACGGTCAATTTTGGATTTCAGACTGACTTTCAGTCCTGAACTAATTGTTTTTATGCAACTACATTCAGTTTTTAAGCATCTCTCTAATATTGTGGTTGTGGATCAATGCTTATCACATTGCAGTCTTTACTTACCACAAAACTGAGACAAGTTAGAGACGAAGTCCCTGAAAATAAACCTATTATGATGTTAGAGAGAAACAGACGCTCAAATCTAGATTCAGTGAAGCTGATTGTTGATCTGCTTCACCCACAATCAGCTTCTGTCTCTGGTGTTCTTAACTAACTAGAGCTGCAGCACTGCTCTGCCTCAGGGTGGCGCTGTAGCAGACTGGTTCACCCAGTTGGTCCTTCATAGTCTAGAAACTGTAACTCTGCCCGGATTCCTCTGAAAAACTTTACAATGAGCTGCAGCAGATCTGTAAATCTGAAAACTCGCCCAGTTTCCCAAGAGTTTGGAGTGAAGAGTGACTGTTCAATCCATCTGCTCAAGCGTAGTCATGTGAGCTGCTGTGCAGGTTTAGTTCTAGCATTGATGGTAGTTGTAGTCCATCAGGTAATACAAACTCTAGAAAACAAATGTAGATGTTTGTAAACAAAGGGCCTACTGTGGGGGAAATTAAATATCCATATTCCTGGGCATCCCAAAGACATTGTCCAATTCCAAAATATAACTGTTTACTGAGGGTTCTGGCTGGTCAGAGTCCAGATTTAAACCCTACAGTGAATATTTGGTCTCATATTAAACTCAAACCAGCTCAGCAGTGTTTTTAAGCTGTTTGAAGCCGTCAGTGCTGAGTGAATCAATACTGACTCTTCTTTTTATAAAAGAGAAATAGAAATTCTCCAACACTAACTTACTGCAGCTATTTAATGATTTGTTGTTTTGCCCTTTTTTTTGTCCAGGAATGTATACATTTCACAACATGAACATTAAAATACAAGCCTTTTACACGCTGCTTGTGTTTTTCTAATGACAATTTGTTACACTTATTGACAAAAATGCTTTTCAGAATCATTGTATCCTTTTTATCTCAGTGTTAAACCAAATTAATTGATTAATAATTAAATTATTTGTGCTTTAACACTTGCATCTTTCATAGTACCAGTGCTACATGCTCAAACACTTCAAGTAAAGCTCTGATACAGTCATTAAACTCTAAAGAGATGCAGAACCAACACTGAATCATAAACTGTCTAATAAACGTACAGTTGCAAATGAGAGTTTATGAAAAGAGCCTTTGAACTGGTTGGAATGGTTCATTAAAATGAATATACTCTGTAATGGGTAGCTAAAATGGAAAACCGAGACGTTCGAATATCGTTCATATCACAGTAAAGTGAGATCACTCAGCTCCTGAAACTCTGCAATGCGCATCTTGGAGGAAAAAGTTCTGGACTTTCGGACTGTGAGGAAAGTTCGCCTCTGGACCGCCCGGCGTGTTCCTCCTGAGGGCCGGGGGCCTGAGAATCTCCCAGCATCCCCGGCGACGTGTCAGTCAGCCTGTCAGAGCGCTGCCTCCCTGCCCGATCGGGGGGGAGCGAGAGAGGATGAACGAGACCAAGAGAAACAGAAGCGCAGAGAGGCCCCCGGCCCCCGGCCGGACCGATTGATCACTGATTTGCGGAGCCGAGCTGATCAGTCATGTCTGAAGTGTGTGGGGATGTGGGCTGATGAGCGATGAGACAGCGGGCTGCGTCCGGCCGCATTGATTTCCTCTCCCAGCGTAATAAGATTAGCAGACGTATGAGGCGGCGAGAGCGACCCGTAATGCTCACGATGAGTGGATGAGTGAACGTTTCTCTGCAAAAGAGCCTCAGGGAGCTGCGCTTAGAGCCAAACCCACAGCTAGAGAGAGGATAGGTGACACATGGAAGCTAAGTTTGAACACGGTTATACAATATTACATCAACTGCTCGCTTTCGTGTCCAAGCAAGCACTCATTAAGAACTAAATTGTGCTCATTAAGGACAAAATTGTGTCAGTATGAGCTTTGTTTGAAGCTGCACTGTGTAATATTTTTATTACAATTGACTCATTACTGGGTGAGGAGGGTGCTGTGAGTCGCCCTGTAAAGCCTGAAAAAATCAGAGGGAGTTTTTTACACCACATCGTACATCTTTACACATTAATGTCCTTAAAAAAAGATCTGGCTTGACGTTTACGTCTCAAATGATCTCAAAATCAACATTATACTCATGAAGATATGATGACAATAGAAGATAAAGCTCTGCTGTGTCTGATCCACTCAGACCAGCGCAACACACACTAACACACCACCACCACGTCAGTGTTACTGCAGTGCTGAGAATGATCCACCACACAAATAGTACCTGCTCTGTGAGGGTCCATGGGGGTCCTGACCACTGAAGAACAGGGTAACAAAGTATCAGAGAAACAGATGGACTACAGTCTGTAACTGTAGAACTACAGAGTGGAACTATACGGTCAGTGGAGCTGATAAAATGGACAGAGTGTAGAAACGAGGAGGTGGTTATAGTGTTTATATTTGCACTATATTGTGTGATACTTTTTTGGTATATATAAAGTGTTACAGTACATTTACTACAGCACAGTGTGATGAATGTCCTCATGTAAAGGGGTCCCTAGGCTCCTTTCTTTCCCCCTAACAACAGTGCGACCTGTGCTTGTGTGTGTGAGTGTGTGTCCTCAGAGACGCAGAGCAAATCAGAGTGATACATCTGTTTACTGCTGCCTTTCTGCTTCTCCTCTGTTCATTGTGATTATTGTTAGATTTTACATTCATTACAAATCATAGTGTGACAGAGAGGTTATACTGGATCAGCACAAGTACAGGAAATCACTGCCTGACTAACTGTAAATATGACAAATAAGAGTAAACAGCAGGCTCTAGATTTTATATGACACTATACACTATATGGACAAAAGTATTGGGACACCCCTTCTAATTATTGAATTCAGGTGTTTGAATTCAGGGGCTGTAAAGCGCCACAACTGGACTCTGGAGCAGTGGAAACACATTCAGTGGAGTGACCAATCAGCTTCTCTATTGGTCAGTCTGATGGACGAGTCTGGGTTTGGCGAATGCGAGGAGAACGTTACCTGCCTGACTGCACTGTGCCAGCTGTAGAGTTTGGTGGAGGAGGGATGATGATATGGGGCTGTTTTTCAGGGGTTGGTCTAGAACCCTTAGTTCCAGTGAAGGGGAATCTTAATGCTTCAGCACCAAGACATTCTGGACAACTGTACACTTCCAACTTTGTGGGAACAGTTTGAGGAAGAACCTTTCCTGTTCCAGCATGACTGAGCCCCAGTGCACAAAGCAGCTCCATAAAGGCCTGACTGGGTGAGTTTGGTGTGGAAGAACCCGACTGACCCTCACAGAGCCCTGACCTCAACCCCATCACACACCTTTGGGATGAACTAGAATGGGGATTGTGAGCCAGACCCTCTCGTCCAACATCAGTGTCTGACCTCACAAATGCTCTTCTGGATGAATGGACACAAATTCCCACAGACTCTCCAACATCTTGTAGAAGCTTCCCAGAAGAGTGGAAGCTGTTAGAGCTGCAAAGGGGGACCAGATCCATATTAATGCCTCTGGATTTAGAATGGGAGTCATAAAAGCTCCTGTAGGTGTAATGAGTACATTACAAACAATACATTTGTCCATATAGTGTATATCATTATCATGAAAAATGTCACAGTACAATATAAAATAAAATATATAGAAAATAATATAAAATAATTGTATTGACAGTTTTTGATTGTATTTTTAAAAATGTAGCGCTGCTGGTTCTTTTTTCTCTGTTCAAACTGGTCAGATGTCTGAAAAAGTAAATATCATGACATATTCTGTATTGTGAAATTTTTAAAGTATTGCAATATTATATTTTATCCTTATCGCCCACCTGTAGTTTGATCCTAAATGATAATTCACTCTTTCCTCCTTCCCTCCTTTCTATTTCTCTCTCTCTCTCTCTCTCTCTCTCTCTCTCTCTCTAGTCCCGCACTGAGCTTCGCCTACCCGCCCACTCCTGTGGCACTGCAGATGCACCAGCAGCTGATTGGGCGGCCACCAGGCATTGTGGGGTCAGCTTTCGGCCACAGTCCCCCGCTAATCCACCCTGCGCCAACCTTCGCCACCCAGAGACCCGTAGCGGGCATCACACCGTCCAGTCTCGGGCCCACGGAGCGTTCCACCGGTTCCACTGACTCACAGGTGACTACGTAACCCTATATGAACTCTTTACCAAACAGATCTGGTTCTAAAATCGAACTGAACCACAAAAATAAATATGCACACGTATTATACATTCTTAAAAAAGACGGTTCTTCAAGGGTGCTTTAGTAAAGCTAATGGTTCTATTTAGAAACATGAGTTCTATATAGAACTCATATAGGGTCTTTGCATGGTAGTATTGTTATAATGTCAAAGGTGCTATATAGAACCATATACAACACATTCTCCATCAATCTGTACAACCATTTCACTGTGCAAAGAACCCTTTAATCATGAAAGAACTTCTGTATAGAAGTCATGCTTCTAAATACCATGAATCCCTTTACTAAAGAACCCCTGAAAACCATCTTTTTTACGAGTGAATGTTTGGAGAACCCTGTTCTCTCGCGTACCTCACATTTAATAGGCTAGTGTTAGATACTGTAGCATCATACCACAGTGGTTAAAGGCTAAACCTTTTATGGCTCTGCATGTAGACGTCTGGGCAAACGGCTGAGGATAACACTGGTCCTCATTCTCCAGTATCTTCCTAAGTTCGTTCTTAAGTGTGTTCTTGATGAAGGTCCTAAGAAAAAGTCTCCGTCAGATTCATGACGTGTTCTTAAAGCGCAGAACTGTTCTCACCTTTGTGCTCTTGAGTGTGTGTAGATTCTGTTCTTACCTAAGAACAAACCCCACATAAGAGAACATCGGTGAGTCAGAGTCTTTGTGAAAACTGCGTAAAGTGGGTTTAAGAAGAAATTTCTTCTTAAGTACGGTTGGAGAATGAGGTCCAATGTTCTTGTTGCATTTTCACAGTATTGAACTTTGTTTACTTTACCACGCCGGCTAGGTCAGTAGCCTGCAGGAACCAGCACAGCAAAGTTTAGTCCTCACCATCAGGAAGGTAATGATATGTGTAGATGTTGACATTAAGAAAACCAGTGTTTCTTGCCTTTTCGTGTGACTGATGGTGGCATGCAGCTGGTTAGACGTTGCCGTGGTGATAGCATCCAGCAAAACGTTTACATGACCTAAGAATAGCTTTGCTAGTTGCTTTGGAGAACTCTTATTTTTACGGCTAGAATTCTGGACTCCTATAGGCCGCCCTGTAGTTACCCCCTGTATTGCACATTGGTGTATTTAATTGGTTATATAATATTATGTATAGTATTTTGTCACTCTTTCATAAAAGCTATAAAAGCTGCGCGTTACAGTGATTTTACCATAGTTAAAGGGCCCATATCCTGCATTTGTCTGCTATTTTATTTGTTCCTTCGAGGTTCACCCATAACATGTGTGTGTTTTGTGTTCCAAAGGTGACCATAATTCAGTTTAAATGACCATTTTCGTCTCTTCATCTCTTAGAATTAAACAGCTGCTCACTCTGACAGACGGTGGAAGTGCTAGATCTATGTGCTCTATTGCTTTGGTGTGTCTTCTAATGTTCTTTAGTTGAGAAGTAACACCGCTGTGGCTGGAAAGGTGATGTGGCAATGTACCGACTTTAGCTCTGTCCTTTAGAACCGGACGTAAAGAGGGTGGCTCCTTCTTGCTTTTACTGCATTATTCATAAAAGCTATAAAAGCTGCGCGTTACAGTGATTTTACCATAGTTAAAGGGCCCATATCCTGCATTTGTCCGTTATTTTATTTGTTCCTTCGAGGTTCACCCATAACATGTGTGTTTTGTGTTCCAAAGGTGGCCATAATTCATTTTACGTGACCATTTTCTTCATCTCTTAGAATTAAACAGGCTGTTTTGACACTGTTCCTTGAAGACAGATATAGGAGAAAGGAGCTCTATTATAATTGGCTGCCTTATATTGTGACTCTCTCTAGAACTTTCTTATGAATGGGCGGAGCTAAACTGCACTAGGCTGAATAGGTGGATGTATATAAATGAGTTGGTCCTTGTGACATCATAGAAACAACGAATTCAAAGCGAATTCATCCACACTGCATGGACTGGATGGTGAACGTTATGTTTTGAACCAGCGTTTATGTATTACTTTAAACTCATATTTTAAAAAGAAAGGGAATTTTGGTTTTGGTCTGGTTTCCTTTAAGGGATTACTTTTACTGCGGAGCCTAAAAACACTCCTTAACCATGGTAACACAAAGCCTCTTGTAGCTTACGGCTTTAATAATCTCTTACAAATTGTTTGTGAGCTACAAAGCCCTTCACAGATCTATGTATATGAGTGAAAAGGTGCAGAGTGGGAGCTGCACAATATTGACAAAAGACTAATACTGTGATTATATTACTACACATTGCCATTGCTTTACACCCTGTAATACACTGAAACACTTTAGTGAATCAATAATGTGGCATTATATTATTACCTGAATTACCTGAACACCCTGATTCATCAAAGCACCCACAGAAACACTCCTCTGGAACTGTGCCAACTGATTGATTATAAGGCTCATTTGCATATTGCAGCCGTATCACAACAGTAGCGCAATAGTGATTTAACAAACGATACGCAGCCCTCATGCACGGTCACAGTCTTATTTTCTCCTCAGTGATTTAGTGTCCTTTAGATTCAGATTACCTTACGAATGTTTATCTTTCATCATCATATCTCTTGGAGCTGTTTAATGGCCATGCATGCTGTATGAAAACATGCACCACCAACACATCAGCATCATAGAAACAGTAGACTGCAGGTAGGCCTCCCTCACAGCGGCCCCCCGGGACTTTTCCCCACGGAGACGGTGCGTGTGCATGTGTGAGCTGTCTGTGTGTTGTGTCCGGATGTGTCCTGCTTGCCTTTTGAGAAATATCACCCAGTTTGTTAGCAGCAAAATTCGCCCTGCTCTGCTTATTAATCAGCGCCGGGTCCACTGCAGTTGTCTTTACTTCTGAAGGATGGATGCAAAAGCGCCTCGTCTTCCCCCTCCGCCACCCTCGCTCCATTTTTACCTGCTGCGTGTGGTGGATTACAGCTTCGCTCAAAGCGCTAAGTGATTTTTCTCTGCGTTTGTATTGATCTGAATTGGGATGATAGCGACGGTTTCTGCCCTGATGGTGAATGAGGCTTCGCTCACTCCTTCTCAGAGCCTATTGCTCTTCCACAACTGTTAAAAACCCCTCTCTGCAGTCCCGACTGGGCCCCATCCATCCCGCCCCCCACCCCTCCGCCCCCCGGCTCACCCCGTACACAGCTGCAGCCTCCGTAATCGAAGGGCCGAGCGGGACATTTGTCTCTCTACGTGGTCATAAAAGAACAATTAACGAGAAAGCGTGAAAGAGCGGAGCATTGCTCACTCTGACAGACGGAGGAAGTGCTAGATCTATGTGCTCTATTGCTTTGGTGTGTCTTCTAATGGTCTGTAGTTGAGAAGTAACACCACTGTGGCTGGAAAGGTGATGTGGCAATGTACTGAGTTTAGCTCTGTCCTTTAGAACCGGACATAAAGAGGGTGGCTCCTCCTTGCTTTTACTGCATTTGAAGCTTTTATGTCAACAATATCATCTCCGAAATGATGTATACACTTAAAAAAAGGTTCTTCAAGGGTTCTTTAGTAAAGGGAATGGTTCTATTTAGCATCATGAGTTCTATATAGAACTATTTCATGCTTAAATGGTTCTTTGTATAGTTGTGACTGATCCACTCACACCAGCACAACACACACCACCACGTCAGTGTTACTGCAGTGCTGAGAATGATCCACCACCCAAATAGTACCTGCTCTGTGAGGGTCCATGGGGGTCCTGACCACTGAAGAACAGGGTAAAAGGGGGCTAACAAAGTATCAGAGAAACAGATGGACTACAGTCTGTAACTGTAGAACTACAAAGTGCACCTATATAGTAAGTGGAGCTGATAAAATGGACAATTAGCGTCGAAATAAGGAGGTGGTCATCGATGTAATGTTACCCGCTCTTTTCCTTCATGTAGGTGACCGTGTGTGTGTGTGTGTGTGTGTTTCAGAGTAAACCCACGAGTGAATCGGCCGTGAGCAGCACAGGAGACCCCATGCACCACAAACGCTCCAAAATGAAACCTGACGACGAGCCCCCCAGCCCTGGAGCGGTCAGCGTGCAGGTAAACACACAAACACAAACATACAGACACACATAAACATCACGCCTCACATGTGCTCTCATAAATATACACCACACATAAATAAACCCCTTCCTTTATAAACTCAGCTTCAAGGCACTTCACCCACTCCCCACCCACAAACTCACAGCCCTCACACACAACACACACACACACACACGCGCGCGCGCTCACGCAGTGGAAGCTTGGAAGCCAATTATGCGAGGCACTGTAAAACTATTTATTTATGCGTTTGATTCGGTGGCGTGCTGCGGCTCTGCCTCAGATGCGATAAGCACAACCGATCTGTGCCGCCTGAGAAGAAAATTGTTTTGCTTTTAATCAGATACACGAGTGAATGAAAAAATGAAAGAAGAATTAGGCAACACGTTTCCCACTTTCCTTCCGCAGAGCTGACGGACGCCGACTATCCGCTGCTGTAAACAATACTATATAAATGAACACCATAGGCCGCGTTACCCCTTTCTGTCCGAATCTGTCTTTTGGTCAGATTTTGTTTACTGTATCATATTAACAGTAAAAAACAGTAAAAATAGCAACTGTATGCTGTGACTTCACAGCCAGCTGGACCACAGGGTTACTGTGATGTAGCTCAATTCTGCTGTTCTTACAGCACTTACAGTAATGAGCTGTAAATAAACAGTAATGTTCTGTATTTTTACATACCAGCATAAAAAGTAATGCAGCTCAGGACACAGTAATCTACTGCATGTGAAAAAATACTTTTACTTCTGCCTTGTGGTCAGTCTGTCTAAAGTGCTGGGTCATTAACTGCTATGTCTTGATGAATATGTATTTTATGTATTTTTCTTGTTCCTCTTCTTTTCTTAATTTTTTCCATTTTTCTTGTCTGAATTTGTTTTTTATAATGTTAATTTGTTCATGTAGTTCAGTTCATTTTAGTTTAGACTGATTAAATTCCATTTTAATTTCTTTTCAGTACCTTTGCTCTGTAAATGCTCAGCTGCTTTGAAAATTATATATATATATTTATATATATATATATATATATCAACCTTCATTCATGTTAAAATTACTAAAATTTCTAAAATTGTTATGCTGGCAATTTGAAATGAAATTCTTGTTTTGAATTTAAAAAGAATGCAAATAGGACATTATATATAATTATTTCTAGACATCTCAGAGTTTTGGATCCCACTGTATATAAATATAATAGTTTGCTGGTATAGATATAACACTATATTTAATTAAATAAAGGCGTCTCTGTGCCGAGCAGTTTGCTTTCTAATTTTAAACTGCATTTTTTTCAATTTATACATAGTTAAACCAGACCTATCATAGCCCCACCCCCTACTGCACTTTTACTACAGTCTCATTGACCCAGTATCATCATCATCATCATCATCATCATCACTGTTACACTGTATAATCACTCCACTTTACATCCCTCTGGGTGTAGATGCAGGACATTAAGGGCATTAATTCGCTTTAGCTAAAGCTTTGTTCCTTGTGCCATCATGATCTAAATACTCAAATTTCTCAGTAAACAGTAAATTTAGGGCTGGGCAATATGACAATATATATCGTTATTGTAATAAATTACGTCATATGTTCATTACGATACAAACAGCTTTTCTAAACATATCATGTATATCGTCAGTACTTGTAAAACACTGACCAACTGCATGATTCATTATAAAGAGAGCAGAATTAGTCCAGTTCAACTGGATTTTGTGCCAAATATTGAATAAAAATCACTGTATTCACAGTTTTTGATAGTATTTTTTGCACTGCTGGCTCTTTTTTCTCCGTTCCAGCTGATCAGACGTCTGAAAAAATAAATATCGTGACATATTGTATGTCGTGAAAACTTCTTGAAGTGTATTATATTTTTGCCATGTCGCCCACTGCTAAGTAAATTCTTTCTGAGAAGCTGGTTTCTGTCTAGAGCCCATGTGTCAAACACAAGGCCCAATCTTATCTGGCCTGTGAAATTATTTTGATTTTCTATTTATATTAGCCAGTTTCACAATGCACTGCACTACAGTCCCCAGCATGCACTGCAATGTAATGTGCACCCACCCCCATCCCCCAAAAACAATCTATGGGTTTACTTATGTATTCAGGTGATGTAATATTTCGAGGTAATGATGAATAAACAATGGGCAGTTTGGGTCACAGCAAATTGTTTATTTCATATTTCATTCTCTGACCCACGGGTTTGTTGAGATTTTTTAACATGGCCTTTCTAGTGGTTGAGGTTGACACCACTGGTCTAGATAGTGTTCAGAGCACTGTGTAAGGTTCTCCGCTGTCATTCAGATGAACAGTGAACTGACAGTGCTGGGACTTTGAAACTCTCAGTGTTTTCCAGTTAAGTCCCTCCACTCGCAGCTCAGAGTGCTGAAGCCCCAGACCGACAGATGTAAACAGCCTCCAGGCTGGGCCGCATGTTTTAACGTGGCAGTGAAAAACGTTTCTGCTAATGTAGCCGACCGTAGCAGGAAACGAGGGTCAGGCTCCTCAAACGCCCCCCCGAGCCCTCGTATATCTGACTCCATTATGACAGAGAGGTTTTAATGACACGTTTCCGCTCCAAACCTCGGGACTCATTTAAAGACCCGGAGTTAGTTTCTGGTAAAAAGGGGGTTATAGGGTTAACACAGATATGTGGCTGACAGCTGGACACAGAAACTCCCTGTTGAACATGTTCAGCATCCAGTCAGTACCTTTAAGCAGTATATTGTCACTGAGTGTGTTTACATGCACTCAATAATCCAATCATAATCAGATTTCTGCAGTTATCTGATTATTCAAATGATCGTGTGAACAGCACACTCTGATTAATCAAGATCAGAGTAAGGTCTAGAAATCTGATTAAAAAATCTGATAAAGAGGCTGGATTTTAGCTCAGTAATCAGATTTCTCAGTGCTGTAAACTCTTACTCTGATTTCTTTCGGATTTCTCAGTCTGAGCATGTGCAAAAACAGACGGTGGTACTGGAAACAAGTGAGCAGCGTCGCCACGAGACACAGCAAATCACTTTTGGAGCGACGCTGAAACCAAATACATTCTTGATGAAATGAAGGATTTAAATATTCTTCATCTTCTAGATGATGTTTGTTCATATTTTCATATATTTCATCTCCAAAATGGTAACTTTACAAAAGAAGAAAAAACATTCTTAAATTTTGATTACAGCGAATTTAACAAGATTTTAACAGTCATTTTGGAAGCTTTCTGTTGGTCCATTTATCATAACATTTGACTACAACATAAAGGGCAACTGAATTTGTAAAATTACGCAAAAATTAATAGTAATAAATGACAAAAATGGGGAAGTTTTATTGCAACAGCAACAATATTTTACCATATTTGCAGTACCAACTCTCTAATGCTTTATTTTTGTCTGATTATGTCATATTTACTGGACGCTGAATGGCTCCCAACCTTAATTGGAATATTGTAGAATGTGTGTTTATGTGTATAACTAATAATCTAATTAGTATAATGAACTTCAATTACATTTCAGACAGTACAGATTTAGTTATTTTGTGTGTGTGTGTGTGTGTGTGTGTGTGTGTGTGTGTGTGTGTGTGCTGGTGCAGGATCAGCCGGACGGGATGACGCTGGTGAAAGAAGAGGGAGAGAAGGAGGAAGGGAAGCAGGAGCCGGAGGTGGTGTACGAGACCAACTGTCACTGGGAGAACTGCTGCAGAGAGTTCGACACACAGGAGCAACTCGTACATGTGAGAAAACACGCGATGCATTCACACAAACATGCATGCAGACACACACACATACACACACACACACACACACCACTATACACAGTAAAGAAATTACAGAGGAATAATCAGACAGTAAGTCCACTCACTGACTCGGATGACCAGGCCTGCATTCCTTCATCACACACCACAAATATTCACCTTGCACTGAAAAGTGCTTCAGGTTCGGCACTCAGTCAGTCATTTAGTTCAGTCAAGCCCTTCCTCAGTGACAAGCTCGCTCAGTAGACATTCATAATGAATGTAAAGCTGCAGTCACGGACCGCCGCCTCGCTGTTTTCTTCACAGAGGTGGAGCAAAAATCAGGCGAGGTCGAGACGTCCTCATTTAGAGGGATGTAAAGCTCAGTAAACGGTTAACGTTCACTGGTTAACTAGACTGTTTTTGAAACTGTGAGTGATAAACGACATTCATACAGGGTGATTCAAAAAGATTCATCCGATTTCAAAGCGCCATGTTTTTACAACCGTGAAGCGCCGAGGAACCAATCACAATCCAATTGCAGGAGGGGGTCATAGATTGTCTGACTGTCAGTACAGCAGTGAACCTCCAACAAAACAGAGCGTTCATCGTTGGTACCAACAGTTCTGAAAAAGGTCACCAGCATCACCAGATCTCACGCCCTGTGACTTTTTTATGGGGGTATGTTAAGGGTTCTGTTCATGTGCCACTCCCAACAACACTGGATGATCTCCGAAATCGCACTGAAAGAGCCGTGAATGCAGCGACTCCCGACATGCTCAATCCAGTATGGGATGAGTTTGACTGTGGTGTTGATGTTGTCTGTACAGCTGGAGGAGGTTCATACTGAGTATAATTACATAATAAACTTTATGCTCATTTAAACCATTTACAGTTTACTGCATTGATCTGTGATGATTTACAAGTGAAATAAATCATTTTGAAATCGGATGAATCTTTCTGAATCACCCTGTATGTCTGAGGAACGTTTCTCCGTTTAGAGAAGACGCCACAGCTCAGCCTCTTCTTTTCTTTAGGCCTGGGGTCTCAAACTGAACCACTAAAAGGGCCATATTTAAAAATCTCAGCAGATCTGTGGGCAGCTGGGTTTTTATTATTCCATTTTTACTTAACATTTTGCCCTGAATGGGGCATTGTTTATTCAAAACTGCAACAGCAAAATAGACACTGAATACTTATTCACAAATAATTATAAATAAAAATAAATAGTTTTAGTTTTTCTTTTTAACTGGCTATTTTCTTGAACTGGACACCAGGCATCTTTCTTTTTATGTAACCGCTGACGCACAGATTGTTGTTGGGGGTCAGTTCACACACAATGTTGCACTGCATGCTGGGGACTGCAGTGCATCTCAGGGTGAAACGGGCTAATAGGAAGAGAAAATCAAAATAATTTCTCAGGCCGAATAGGACTGTGTCACGGGCCCGACTTGGCCTACGGGCCTTGTGTTTGACGCATGGGCTCTAGACTGATGAGATTCTCAAATTCATGGGGTTAAAGCTGTTTTGGAGATACTTGTTTTTCTTTAGAGAGCGACAATATCTCTATAGCACCACTCCTGCGACCCCTGGAACTATGTTGAAAAAAAAGAAAAGTGGAATGTTTGAATTTTTAACATGAATTTCAGATTTTCTCAGTATTTGGTGGTGTGTCCCTCTTCTCCTTTAATGACAGTGAGCTCTCGAGCTGCATGGACTCAACCAGTTTGTGTAAAAGTCCCTCTCTCTCTCTCTCTCTCTCTCTCTCTCTCTCTCTCTCTCTCTCTCTCTCTCTCTCTATCTATCTGTCTCTCACTCTCTCTCTTCATTTCCTTTTCACTTGCCCTGATCTAAGTGTAGGTAAGGAGCTCAGAAGGGTCAGAGCAGAAGACTCACACACACACACACACACTTTCACTCACACACACTTTGACTCACACACACGCACGCACACACACACACACACACACACACACGCACACACACACACGCTTTGCTCTAGACACCCCATTTGTCACAGCCACTTTCCAGGCTGGAGAGGAAAGACACTCAGCTCCTCAGACATGAAAGCTCAACCACACCAGTGTGCGCTGCCTTTAAACTCTCACTCCTCCTCCTAACACACACTCAGCCCCCTTTTAACCAGCACACACACACACAAACACACACACACACACACATGCACACACACACACATGCACACACACACACATGCACACACACACACCGCTTTGTTTTTATACGATGTCAGGACAGAAGGTGCTACATACAGGCTTAAAGCTTCACTTATGAATAACTACAGGGGGCTCCTAAAGTCTGAGACCACAATGCAAATCTGAGATTTCTTAATTTAACCTGGAAACGAACAGAAACTTTTAGAACACTGAATCAGGTGTGTGTGTATGTGTGTGTGTGTGTGTGTGTGTGTGTGTGTGTGTAATATACTCTGTTCAGACTGAATCAGGTGTGTGTGTGTGTGTGTGTGTGTGTGTGTGTGTAATATACTCTGTTCAGACTGAATCAGGTGTGTGTGTGTGTGTGTGTGTGTGTGTAATATACTCTGGTCAGACTGAATCAGGTGTGTGTGTGTGTGAGTGTGTGTGTGTGTGTGTGTGTGTGTGTGTGTGTGTGTGTGTAATATACTCTGGTCAGACTGAATCAGGTGTGAAGGTGATGATGATGACCTGTTTGTCCTAAAAGCTGTGAGTGTTTTTAGTCAGATCTCTTCCAGTGAAGCTCGTGTTCAGACTCTCAGGTGGGTTTGAGAGACTTTTACCCAAACTGGTTGAGTCCGTGCAGCTCGAGAGCTCACTGTCATTAAAGCAGAAGAGGCACACACCACCAAATACTGAGAAATTCTGAAATTCATGTTAAAATTTCAAAGATTCCACGTTTCACTCAGGTTGTTATGCTGATAAAATCATTTGTGCTGAAAAACTCCGTGTTTTATTAGAAAGGAATGCAAAATAGAAGCATTTTCACCAGCAATCTCAGAATGTTGGACCCCACTGTTGGACCAAACGTGTGTGAGTGTGTATGAATTAGAGGTCAAGCCCTATGGGCCTGCCAAACTACTGGGTTTTGGGCCAGCTTTGGGCCATTTCTTCACATGCAGTGTTGGGCGAAATACAAGAAATTCTGAAATTAATGTTAAAATTGAACAGATTCTAATTTTCACACTGCAAAAAATGGTGTCTTGTCAAGTAAATTTATCCTAAATATAGTAAATAAATCTAAACTTTCTCCTGTTGAGATTGTTATGAGCTTAATTTAAGACTATTTTCCTTATTTCTAAACATTTTTACTTGTTTTAAGTAATTTTATTAAGTAAAATTATCTCACTATACCGGTATACTTTAGCTTATTTTAAAAAATGTGCTTGAAACCAGCTAAATTATCTGCCAGTATAGTGAGATAATTTAATAATACTACTTAAAACAAGTGAAATGTGTCTAGAAATAAGCTAGACAATCTTACAATAAGTGCACAACCATCTCAAAATGGGTAATATTAGATATTTCGCCTAGATTTAAGATGCCATTTTTTGCAGTGCACTCAGATTGTTATACTGATAATATCATTTGTAATAAAAAACTTATAGCAAAATAGAAGCATTTTCACCAGCAGTCTCAGACTTTTGGACTGTGTATGTAATAATACGCTCTTTATTTACAGTATAAATCTAACTGCCTACAAATAATATGATTTTTCTAAGACTAACTCTAAATCAAAACCTACCTCTGACCTCAGTTACCAGAAAGAAGCTCATTTGGTTTAAAAAAAAAAGCT